ATCATTATTTTAAAAAATAAAAATAAAATTTCGGATTCGGAAGGTTCTAGTTCTTCCCGAGTCGTTCGCGAGACACTCGCGAGACGAAAAAGATCGCGACACCACTCAACCAGCGCCAGCGCGAGACACGTAATCGCCCGACAGACCAACACCAACAGCATCTGATGGACACCAGTCCTTTTATCCAACACAGTTGATTTCCGACTTTCAATTCCGCGCGAAACTCAATCTCTGAGCTGTACTTCTCTACACCTCACGACCCCACATTCACCCCTCCCATCACCAACCACAACTTGCCACGTAACGAAACAAACCCACACCCCTCTCTCCACACACCAATTATTGTAGTTCCGTCCGCAGTGAATAAACCGCTCCCATCTCGTACTTTTCTTTTCGGTGAAAGTTATAAGCCACAGTAACTTATCATTCTTGTGATAAGTACTTTGATAAGCAGATTTACTTATCATTGATAAGTTGTTGCGAAATAAAGACACTGCAAAACGCATCGGGGAAAGTGGTGAACACTTTTTCTCTCTCTTCTCTATCTTTTTTATTTTTTTTTCATTTTCTTTTGCGTAATTTTCTTTCTTTCTTTCTTCGGCAGCTTTTATTCTACTGTTCTCGTTCAACTGCGAAGCATGTAACCGCAAACCCTAGAAATCAGTTCAGGTACCATCGTTTTTCTACCTTAAGTTCTCACCGTCACCACCAAACCTGCACAGTTTCCGCCGCCTCCACCTCCTCTTCTGTTGTTAATTCGTCCGCTGACTTCCATTTTCATCTCTCTCTGCCTCTCTACGTCTCCTTCTCTGTTTCTCCTCTGCTTCCGTTAACTTTTTTTAGATTCCCGAAATCTAAAACCCTAACTCTCGAATTGATTCGGTGGTTTCTCGATCTCGGAAGTGGTTGTTTCAAATTAAGCAAAAAATATGTCGTCGTTGAGCAGAGAATTAGTGTTTCTGATTCTTCAATTCCTTGAAGAGGAGAAATTCAAGGAGACCGTACACAAGTAAGTTTGATTTTTTTTTTTTTTTCTTTCCCCCATTCTTTTGAGTTGTTGTAGTTGTGTTGATTTTTATTGTCGTTTTGATTGATTTGTGTTTCGTTTTAATGGAGTTCAGGCTAGAGCAAGAGTCAGGGTTCTTCTTCAACATCAAGTACTTCGAAGAGAAAGCGTTGGCTGGAGAATGGGATGACGTTGAGAAGTATCTTTCCGGATTCACCAAAGTGGATGATAATCGATACTCCATGAAGATTTACTTTGAAATCAGAAAGCAGAAGTACCTGGAAGCTCTCGATCGGTAATTTCAATCTCTTTCTACAATAATTATATAAGTTTTTGTAAACTTATTTATTAACCAATTTTCATTCTTTTTTTTTTATTTTTTTATTTCAGGCATGATAGACCAAAAGCTGTTGAAATTTTAGCAAAGGATTTGAAAGTTTTTTCCTCATTTAATGAAGAGCTATACAAGGAAATTACACAGCTTTTGACTCTAGAGAACTTTAGGTACTCAAGTTAACTTTTGTGTGCAGGATTGTAGAAGTTGATTAATAATTTGGCAGGGTAGAAGTTTATGTATTTAAGTAAGTATTTTAATAAAATAATAACAAAATTCATATTATTTTAATCACATCTACTTGTTTAACGTTTGTTGGTAGTACATTCCAGAAAAAGCATAAGTAAAG